CCCGGAGATCTTCTAACCGTATACGTTCACCATATATCGTGCGGTTAGAAATAATTGTAATTTTAAAAAAAAATTAAATATAAACAACATCTAATAAAAACTGACTACACAATATACGATAAACAGATACGATTAGAGAATTTTCGAAATCCTCACTAATAGGATGCGGAGGATCCTCATTCAACTTTGCTAAACAATGTTGTCATATTTACTTCTCATTCAATCATATTGCTTCGTATCACAGTAAGTAATCACACCAATTAATTCACAAACCTACTCCAATTTCAAAAATACCCAAATAAAAAAAAGTAAAAAATAAAAAAACCGCATAATTGCTCAATGCCATAATTAATCCACTCCCTTCAACTTTCTTTGGCCCTCTGTGTCTTACTTCAGTGCCTGACATCTGTCCCCATATTTAACTCCGTCTAACTCTGTTACCTCTCAATAACATTTGTCAGACAAAATAGAAAAAGAATGGGTCATCTTCTCCGTCTTCTCTGCATTTGTTTTTATCTTCATGCCAGAAAAAATGGAAGTCGAGATCAACGCGGGAGGGGCTTGGGTGGGGTGGCTGCATATATATCTGAATCTTCCAAACCAAATTCTTCCAGGTTTCCAGATTCTTCCAGAATTGTGGTCTGATCATCTGAGAAGCGACAAGGAGATGGACGGAACGGGTGGCAGTCGGTTGGTTGTCGGGGTTGAGTGGTCGTCGGAGGCATGGGTATCGCTTCTTTTCTTATTCAAGTATTTGGTCTCGGTTATTTTTATTTATTTATTTTAGAAAGAGTTTTTTTATTAACACCGAACGTGTTGTCAAATACATCTCATTTAAAAAGAGTGGTGATATTCCCACCCTCGTGTCTTATTTCTCTACTCACCATTTAATGAAAATGTTCATAACATATTTATTCTTTTATAAAAAGATTCTTAAACCCCTATTTAATTCATTACAAAAGTTTTGAAAAAAAAAATAATAATTTAAAATAATAAATAAATCATGGTGAGTGGAGTGTGATATCTTTGGTGGAAAGAGGTTAGGAATGATTTGGGTTAGAATTGACAGAAAAGTTGGAGGAAGGAATGGGCGTGTGCTAGACGAAGGCGAGAAACTTGAATGAAGAAAAAAGAAAACTGAGTGTGAGATTTGCGGTTTTGACAAAAAAGGAGGAAGAATAGTGGTTTGGGAGTCCGAGGTCTCTGCAGGGCTGTAATAGGTGTGAAGGAGATGATGAATGTCTAAGTTTTAGGTCTTGCATTTTCTTTCATTTTTTCTATTTTTATTTAAAGATATATTAGAGTTATTTAAAAATAATTATGGTTATTTTAGGAATAATGGTGGGTGGGGAAATAACATTTTACTTTTTTAATTTTTTATGATGGGTGGGATTATCATGTGAGTGGGAAAATAGGACACTGTGGTGGGTCTAGTAGCACTCTTTAAAAATGTAATACTAAACAACTTGTAACTCTAATATGAAATGACTATTCGAGCCCTCATTGACACACCCCGACCGAGATCAGGGCGTGCTGGCCATCACGCAGAGGTAACGTAACCATGTGCACAATGCAGAAACTAATAAAACAATAATAGAAAAAGTACGAATAATTAAAAACTAGCATACATAAGGTAATTGAAATAAGTGCTAGCGTAAGTGAGACACAAGTTCAGAGCATAATGCCTAAGCAGTCCAAACGAAAATGACGCAACAACAGTACACCTGAAGGTGGCCCTACGCTGGTGATTGTCTGTCAGAAATGTTGGGAAAGCCCTCTGGGAAACCAACAAACCTGCTAGATAGCTAGAACCTGGAGGGGCGCAAAACAAAAGCGTGAGTGGGCAAAAACAAAGCTTCTTGAAAACCATTTAATAAATAAGTTCTAACCCCTCGCCGTAAAACCTGTATACTTTCCAGAAAATAAACATACGTACATATATATATATATCAATCATGCTTTGGGATATGCCATGCCAAATCTCACAATGAAATGCAAGTGCTCAGGTAAAAATCATATCAATCACATATAGTCTGGCAGCCGGAGTCACCTAACGTGACCTGTACGGTTGCATCTAGAGCTTAAATCTCAATCACAATAACTAACTAAACCTGCCCATGAGTCGGAACCACCTAAAGTGGTCTGTACGACAGGCCTGGGTGTAATACATGTAAACGCTCTAGTGCTACGATCACGTGAAGGCTGTGCGAATAATCGCGGGTCACCTACGAGTCGAAACCACCTAAAGTGGTCTGTACGACAGGACTGTGCACCTAACTTGGATCCAAGCTGAGCGTGTGGTGCGGGAGGTGAACAACACGTGAATGACTGTGCCCTACTCTGGGCGGAAGCACTAACACCGGGGGTGCAGGTTATGAGCTCTCTAAGCATCTCGAATCGCTACTGAAAGTAAACATGAATAACACTTACTTGGCACTTACCTGTGCGTCTGCAGCACCCAATATGCATATGTATATATATACAACTAATAATGCAACTAACGATGCACAAATAACAATAATCTAATGCATGGCATATGGCGATTGACAATTCAAAACAATTTCTGGGAAAAATATAAGTATATAGGTATATACGGAAAACTAAAAGCCCACTCACTGGTAAGTGGAAGGGTCGTAATCCCCTTGCCTCGAGTGACCACGCTCGTCCTCGGAATACGTCTCACCTATATGCGAAATAACTATAAAAACGTTAATTTTAAAGCACATAACCAAACTTTAGAAATAACTTCTCATACAATGCTCAAATGGGGTGTATGAATACACCAACGTGATCTACTCAACCTCAGGAACATCCCCATATTTTTAAAATAATTTTTCACCGTCGCACGCGCCCCCACGCGCCGGCCAAGGCACGGCCACATGCGCCGGCCACGCGCAGGCACGTGCCTGGCACGCTGACGGCATCAACTGATGCCGTAGGGAATATTTCGTCAGATTTAACAGATTCTGTCAACGGCGTCAGGAATATTCCGTCAGACTTGACGGAATATTCCGTTGTCTTCTCCGGCGAGCCTCCGGCGGCATCGTCGGTGTCGGAAAATTGGGAAAATTTCAAACTTCGATATCTTCTTCGTTTTTCATCCAAATTTCACAAAATTGGTACCAAAATGAAGTTTAGAACTAGAGGAACACAATCATACCACTTTCAAGAGCTTAAATCCACAAAATCTCACCTGAAAAATCAACCCAACTCCGGCCAACTTCGAAACTAGTGATCTAGACGTCCAAAACCATCAAACGAACCACCCCAAGCCTCCCAGGGACCTCACCAAGCTACCTACAAGCTTGAAATTCCCTAAAACGTGAGAAATCACGTGTGCATGAACAGTACCTTAAATCGGACATCGTGTATTTGACGTGAAAACGAAGGTGTTCTTACCTGAAATAGGCATGGTTGGACTCCTACAAGCCTCACGAGTCTGAATATGTGCTTGGTTTCCTCGATCTGTGGAGGTTTGATAGGTTTGTGGGTGTGTCCGTACGTTTCAATGGAAATGAGAAAGGAATGGGGCTTGGGACAGGGGAGTACAGGGCAAGGAAATGGGTGTGGGTGCAGGTTATGGTGTGTGGCCCAAAACATGTCAACAAGGAACCCAAAAACAACCACAAAACATAAAGAAAACGCACTAGGGGCAAATCTGTCTTTTCACGCGTACGTTTAGCATTCTCGGGACGGGCTGTCACACTCATAGCTACTTTTACTCTCCATTGTAAAACAAAACCCCTTAAAACACAAACAGATTGATAAAAAAAAATCTTTTGATGAACGGAATAAAAAATCAAGTTTTGTTCCTCGTTCATTGGTTGGTTTTCACATTCAAGAAATTATTTAAATAATGGAATAAAAATTTAACTTTTTGCAAAGTCTTGCTCTAATTGGAATCCAAGAAATGAGAAGAAAACTTGAGAATGTTGACATTTTAAGATGTAATTAAATATAATATTCTTGTGGCTATTTGATGATGAAGAAATCCAATGTTTTTTGGCTAGTTGGATCTGACATGACTTTATAAGAACAATTCATACCATTGACCCTTCAGGCTTAGAATCCAACGTAATTATTCAAGAAAATTTGACGAATGTTTACAAATCAAACGGCAAGATGGAGATTTTATACAACAATTTAATTCATCTTTTTTGTTTTAAAATGCTGATTATTCTTTTGTTTGAAAGAGATGAAGAGTTTGATATGTGGTTACTTAGTTGATGATTGTGGGGTGTATAAGATATGAGATGTGAGAGTAGTATTGGAAATTACATAGGATTTGTTAAGAAAAATTTAATTGAAAAAGTAATATAGGGTGTAGTCCCAAAATGTGGGTGTTAATAAAACAAACCTTTTAGAAATGGAATTAGATTATTTCCTGAGCTCGAGATGGGAATCATCTTGAGTAGTCTATCTGAACCGTTCAAACTTGATTTAACAGCTGCAATTATTACACTTTTAGAAGCCTCTTGTTTGGAATCCATTGAATCAAATTTCAACGGTCCGGATAAATTGCTCCTGAAGATTCTCATCCTGAGCAGAGGATCCAGTTCGTTTAGAAATGGTCTCAGTGAATTAAGGAAACTAACAAACAAACAAAATCCCCCAAATCTACTTTATACACTATTATAATAAGTCCATTCAACGTTTTCAACTCCATCGTACATATAAATGTTTTCATGACGAAAATACCCTTCTCGTTTGTTTTTTTTTTTTTTTTTGTTTATTGGTTTTTGATTTTTTTTTTGGTTGGTTTTTGCTGCTGCTTCCTCATCACTTCCTCACTGGCCGCCCCGGTCCATTAACGCGTTCACGCGTATAAGCCTGTCGGTGTCGTGTATATTGTGGGTGACCACTATATATATCCCTCCATCACCTTCCCACTAATAGCAGGTGCAGATATTTTAATATCCCAAATCAAATAAAATCTGCACTTGTTTACCTTCCTTCTTCGATCTCTTTCTTTTTGCATATCAAAATCAAAAACTCAATTTTTCAAATCCAATCCAACTGAAAAACGGGTTCCAAATCTTGTTAATTGTGGGTTTTGGAGAAACAAAGAAAAAGAGACATCAGAGAGGAACCTAGAAGAAAAAAGGTCAGAAATTTTACAAGATATGCCGTCTGCATTGGAGGATGAGTTGTTCCCGTCGACGCCCGGAAAGTTCAAAATCGAACGCAGCCACGCCATGAACCGCCAGTTCCACCGATGTTTCGCCTCCACAAGCACCATGTTCTTGTGGGTCTTATTTCTTATCGCCTTGACGGCGTCCTATTTGAGCTTTCAGAGCTTCGTCGACTCCGGCAGCCGCTACTTCTCCGCCTCCTGGGGCGGCATCCAGTGGGAGAAGCAGGTCCGCAACTCCGCCCAGATCCACCGCTCCGGCGGCATGTCCGTCCTCGTCACCGGCGCAGCCGGTTTCGTCGGAACCCACGTCTCCCTGGCCCTCAAAAAGCGCGGAGACGGCGTCGTCGGAATTGACAACTTCAACAGCTACTACGATCCGTCGCTAAAGAAGGCTCGCCGGTCGCTCCTCAAGACCCACGGCGTTTTCATCGTCGAGGGCGACATAAACGACAATCGCCTTCTGGACAAGCTATTCGATACAGTGGCGTTCACCCATGTGATGCACTTGGCGGCTCAGGCCGGCGTCCGGTACGCCATGGAGAATCCGCAGTCTTACGTCCACAGCAACATCGCCGGCCTCGTGACGATTCTCGAAGTCTGCAAATCGGCCAATCCTCAGCCGTCCATTGTTTGGGCTTCGTCCAGCTCTGTCTACGGTCTGAACGACAACGTCCCATTCTCCGAATCAGACCGGACTGACCAGCCGGCTAGCCTCTACGCCGCCACCAAGAAAGCCGGCGAAGAAATTACCCACACTTACAACCATATTTATGGCCTGTCAATTACCGGGTTGAGATTTTTCACCGTGTACGGACCGTGGGGTCGACCAGACATGGCCTATTTCTCTTTCACCCGCAACATCCTCCAGGGGAAGCCCATCACCATTTACAGGGGCAAGAACCGGGTGGACTTGGCCCGGGATTTCACGTATATTGACGACATCGTGAAGGGTTGTTTGGGGTCATTGGATACGTCCGGGAAGAGTACCGGGTCGGGTGGGAAGAAGCGGGGAGCGGCGCCATACCGTATCTTTAATTTGGGGAACACATCACCGGTGACAGTGCCCACACTCGTCAACATCTTGGAGCGGCATTTGAGGACGAAGGCGAAGAAAAATGTGGTGGACATGCCTGGAAACGGCGACGTTCCGTTCACGCACGCGAATATAAGCTTGGCCCGAAGGGAACTCGGGTATAAGCCCACAACCGATTTGCAAACCGGGTTGAAGAAGTTTGTTAGGTGGTACCTTTCGTATTACGGCTACAATCACGGCAAGCCTGTAAATTAATATTTCTTTCTTTTTTTGACCTTTTTAATTTTCTAGGATTTTCTTTCCCAACCACAAAAGGGATAAACCTTGGGAAAAAAAATCCTGCGGCATGAAAATGAAAAGGCGCATTTTTTAACATTTTCTCCTCGGTAACTCTTTCTTTTTGTGTTTTTGTTTGTAAAGGAAAGGTTGAGGTTTGTTTTGGGCCTCGTACCCGCTTTTGATTGACAAGAGTTTATTTTTAATTGGAGTGATATTGTAATTGTTAGGATCCAATACTTGCTTCCCTTGAACACTTTGACAATCTATTTCTAACTCGAATCTAGAGGTTGAACATATACGGGAGCTAACTTGATTACGCTCAAATCTGCTCAATTGACAAGGACGCTGCTCGATTCGATTGATACCGTGTATGCCTTACTTGAGTTCATATCTTAAGACTCGTTTGGAATTTTTTTATGTTCATATATATTATGGAACGTGATTTATCGTATACATGAAAATTTTCCGCAGAAAAGAGAGGGTAGGAGAGAAAGGTTCAAGTTGCGTGGAGTGGAATCTCAGATGTTATGGAGAAAGCAAAGCATAAAATGATGAATGAATGGGGTACAACATGATCATGCTATAGTGGGCAATTGGTTAATCTACTTTCCAAATTCGTGAGTATGAACATTCAGGCAAAGTGATGGAGGAAAGGAATCAATTTCAAAGCTAATTTTAATTTGTTGTTTATCTGTTTGTTTTTATTTCTTTTGCATTCAATATCATCGAATCAATCCCTTGAATTAATGAAGGAAAAAAATATATGATATAAACAAATAAATAAATAGATAGATAAGGAAACAGCTAAGAAGGAAAGGGACAACTGGTACAACGTGACAAACGATTATGTTGGGCCCCACCTTTGAAGATCCAGCCGTTGGATTCAACACACACATAGATCCAGCTGTAAGGCGTGTTGTGTAAATGTCACTCTTTCCTTGAAGCATAATAATATGCCAGTTTTAGCTTTGTTCGCCGATGCGGAGGTGGAGGGGTATTTTAGTATTTTGGGTGTTAGTAGTGTTAGTGTCCTTTTCATTATAATTCATTTTCCTAATACAATCTTTTGAATTCTACACCCTTTTCAGAGCTAAATGATGATATATTGATAAAAACAGATTATTGTCATATGAGATTTGGCAAGTTAGACTACATGTTGAGGAAAGTAAAGCCAGCTAAATGAAGAAAACTATTCCACCAAGAGTCGTGCCATGTTCATGGCTCTTACTGCTAAAAATAAAGAAGGTTTCATCGACGGGACCATTAAAAAGTAGGGAGGTGCTCCACTGCAGAACTTCAACGGTGGACTCGCTGCAATGATCTTGTCAAATCATGACTTTTTAACTCGATGTCCCATGATATCAGGGCGAGCGTGATCTACAACGATATTGCTGGAATGATTTGAAGGAGCGCTTTTCACATGTGAATAGCGTACATCTCTTTCATATCGAACAAGAGATACATGGTTGCATTCAAGGCAATATGAATATTGGTGCTTACTATACCAAATTGAAAGGTCTCTGGGATGAGTGCGATGCACTATGCTGTATTCCAATTGTACAAGTAGGACTATGAAGGAAGTGTTGCAGTTTCAGCAAGTCAAAAGGCCATGAAATTCCTCATGGGTCTTAATGATGCCTACGCAGGGGTTAGGGGACAAATCTTGCTTATGGATCCCCTTCCTGCCGTTAACAAAGCCTACTCACTTATTATTCAAGATGAGAAGAAAATAGCAGTTTCAACTCTTGCACTTGGCAAAGCCTCAATCGCCGATGCAATAGCCTTTGCAGTGCAAGATAATTCAAGGAATTATGGTAGGAACTTCACACCTAAGAATCCTCATCTAAATTGTGACCGCTGCAACACCATATGGCACATCTCAAATGTGACTATTATGGGTAGAAAGGCCATCTTGTTGACCAATTCAGCAAGCTAAAGAAGGCGAGTTCCTACAACGACAAAGCTGACTACCAAGATCGAAAGGGGTTCACTTCGAAGGCGAACCATGTTGACACAAATCCAATAAGTCCAACAGTGCCCCGTCCATCGTATAGCCTCACTGCAGAACAATATCATAATCTTCTTGCTCTCCTTGCAAAGAACAAGTCAAACCCCATGACGAATCAATCAGTGTTGTGTCGAGCATGAATGATCTCTCAGGTAAAGCGTTATGTGCTTCTGTTTTCAATGAATAAACAAGTTAGATCTTCGACACTGGGGCCACAGACCACATTTTTTGCTGATAGGATTTTTACCACCTGCAAAAGTAGGGATAAAAACACTTAAAAATAAATGCAAGAGAACAAGGTAGTTGCAGTATAAACAGCAAGCAAGGTCGTTTCACAGGGATTGAATGAATAATTTGTATTTAAAATCAACTCTTAATTAATTATTTAAAACAAAGTTTGGAAAATATTGATTTTCTAACTTAAAATATTAAAAACGAATTTACTAAAAAAATTAAATAAATCAACTAGAAAACAATTTAAAGAAAATCAATTTAAAGACTAGGGTTCCGCTGTCACCTTAACAATCCTACGTAATTCTCTCAATTACTTATGAATTACCCATGCATATTTTGAAGGTTAGCTTTTCCTAATATATATCCTACTTGGAACCTCTAACATAGAACGTATATCTAATATGCAACCCGTCCGGACGTTCGGATCAAAATTGAACATGAAAGACTCATTAAGTTTTGCAAAAGCCCTTTGAAAAACCATGCAACCCTTAAGACGTGGTGTTTGTCCTTAAGTGATATTACAATTAGTAATCACAAGAAGCCAGTGCCAATTTCAGGGAACCTTTCGACCAAAATTGCATCAAATTATTTTTCTAACTATCATAATGGTCATGAATCATTAAGACACTTAGATAGTTTAAAAAGGTGTTAATAATTCAAAACATATGCATGCATAATATCATAAGCAAATTGAAAAGAAACTACATATTCTTGCTAAGGCTTGTGGTCTCGCTTAAAAAAAAAGAAACTAGTTACGAACAATAATAAAACAAAATATTATTAAGAACATAGATACAAAACACTTAAAAAATAAACTTCAATAGTCAAAAGCTCTCTAAAGTAGTGTCTTCCTCCTTGTCCTCTTTAACCCTAATGGCTAAATATCCTTATTTATACTACTACAAAATAAAACTCTAAAACATCTTAGAATAAAACTAGGAAACATAATAAAATAATAAAACAACAAATAAAAGGTTTCCTATTTGAACTGAAATTTGGACTTCTCATAAAATCAGACTTTTGACCAACCAAATCAACTCCGCTTTGGTCCCAAAAGATCTCCTTTGAAAACTTAAGTTGTCCCCAACAAATCCTCAAAAGGAATCTTCCTCAAAATATGTCATATTGACCTCCAAAATACCCAAAACGTCTAGAAACGTCAATCTGGAAAGCTGTGCGCTGGATCTTATTTCATTGCCACAGTCAAATGGCTTAGCAGAAAATTTTGAAACTTTGATACAATCATCTTGAAAGACTCATGAACATCCTCAATTCTCCAAAATTCGTCCATTTGATTGCTTTATGCTCAAGAGGAAGTCGAATGTCCTACATTATAAATATAATTCAAAATATCATAATCTTGCCAAAATAATCAATAAATTAATACTAAGATTAGGGTAAAATATATAGTAAAATATTGACTCATCACTTGCTTCATTTGATGACCACAAGAATTCCGATTGCAAATTGAGTGCATCTTCCCAATCATGCACTTGCTGATGTGACTCACATTGGAACCATTCACTTCTCAAATGATCTTGTTCTACATAACGTACTTTGCATTCCATCTATCATTCAAATTAAATATGATATTTTCAGCAAACTTACTAAAACTTTTTCTTGCTTTGCCATATTCTTTGATAAACTTTGCATGCTTCAGGACCAACAATCGGGGAAGATGATTGGAATGGGAATTGAATGAGAAGGACATTATTAACTTGACTGTGAATAGGATTGGATGCAATTCTGTTTCAGTTGTCACTACTACTTCTTCTCGGCTTTGGCATCAACGCCTTGGTCATCTGTCAAATAAAAGCCTTTCTGCTTTCTCTCCTTCAGTTAAAAACATGCAAGTTTGCAATATTGGTGATTGTTGGTTTTGGCCATTGGCTAAACAGATTCATGTTTCATTTCCATTAAGTTCAATTAATACACATGCTCATTTTGAATTAATTCATGGTGATATTTGGGGAGGTTATCATATTCCTACAATCATTGGGGCACAATATTTTTTAACGATCGTTGATGATTATTCACGATGCATGTGCGTCTATTTTATGCACCATAAATTAGATACACACCAATATCTGACTTCCTCCATCAATCTTGTTGAAACACATTTTTCTTCCAAGGTTAAAACAATTCGAAGTGACTCATGATGACATAATTTTATTTAGATAAAGGGATTTTTCATCAAACTAGTTGTGTTTATACCCCACAAAAAATGGCGTAGCTGAGAGAAAACATCATCACCTACTCAATGTAGCACGTGCCTTATTGTATGCCAACCTCCCAAAGAAATTTTGGGGATGCCATTTTAACAACCACTTACCTTATTAATTGAACTTCTACCTTAGTTCTTAAGGGAAAAACACCACATGAAGTGCTCTTTCAAAAGCAACCCACTTATGATCACATAAGGGTTTTTTATTTTTTATTTATTTATTTATTTTTATTTTTTAAGGAGGACAACTGGTGGCAAGCCATGGTTATCCACCCCTTCCAGGGGCCGGGAAGACTTATAAAGGCATTTCAGCCTCCTCCTGGGATCACGTAAGGGTTTTTGGGTGCATATGTTTTGCCTCTTCACATCATCACTGTCCCAAAAAATTTGATGCAAGGGTCACACGTTGTATTTTTCTTAGATATTCATACGGCACAAAAGGATATCAGGTATATGATCTCACTACGAGTAGATTTTTTATCTCCCGTGATGCTTTGTTTCATGAAACAGTGTTTCCTTTCCCACCTTCCACTGCAGACTCTCCTCTTGTGCTGCCACAAGCTCAAGAACCTATTTTTGATGATCATACTCCTATTCAATCCACCAATTCAAACACTGAACCCAATGCACTAGATTCCATGCATGACATATGATCAATGCACCAGATTCTCCTTCATCCTCACCTTCCACTTCTTTATCTTCTATTGCACCGGTCCCTCATCCATGTCTCACGAGAA